TCAATAATTTTCGATTTCAAGCTTCATTAATTGATAAAAAAACCAATGTAACAGGATTTGATAAACCAAAAATCAAATCTCACAAAGTCTCAACTGATATCAATGCTTCAGTCGGAATTTCAGGAACTTTGAAACCTCAACTAGCACTCGATCTAAGCATATTGACTGGTCTAGTACAAATTAAAACGGGAATTCAGGTTGAAGGTACTTTAGGTATCACCGCATCTATTGGTAATGGAAACGGTTGTAAAAAAAACAATCCATTAAATTTGAAGAGTACATTAGATGGAGATGTGGGATTTTTTGTTCAGAGTTTTGAAAAACCTGTTTTTAAGTTTCCTTCTCTGGAATTGGGTCATTTTTGTTTATAAGGCTATGCATGTTAATTTTTTCGGTTTTCATAACATTTATCAATTAATATTAAGGATTGGAACCGTTAACACATAAAATATTGTTTATTGCTTGACCAGAATTATGTTTATTATTTACCAAAATTTTGAATTAAAAAATTAAACATGTAAATATCTGAATTTGCATATTTTTAGATATCAATACTATTTTTTTTTCAATTCAATAAAAAAAAAATTGCACTAAGTAATCGACTCCAATAAATTTTCAAATTCTGCGCAGTGCTTTAAATTCTCTGCGAATGAAGAATGTCAAAGTATCATTAGCTATATCCTTCATAGAATGATAACAAAGATCACATGGTAATCGTCCAAATTTTGTTAAAAACGAAGATAGTTAAGTGTGATGATTTCGATATTTGAAGGTTCTTGAATTCTAAGTTCATATAGAATTAAAAAGGTCTCTCAATTATTGGAATTGTGAAAATGTAATTAACATACAGCGACTCTTGAATTTACAGTATTATATAAATTAACTACTTATTATTGCAAGGCAATTTTTTATCCCCAATACCAATTTACTTAATAGTTGATTTGTGATTGAACTATCAAATTATATTGGACCGTATATCACAGTTCATTGTAAGAGACATAGTGATAAGAGAACAGCGTAATGAATATTATGGTTCAAAAATTTTATTTAATATATTACTTATATGATCGGTTTTGTTGCCCTGTATTGTACGAAGTAACGCACATGGGCGTTATTGGCTGGAGTTGAGGGAAGCGAGATGGAAGCCTTTCAAGTCTTACACTACAAATTTTTGAAAAATGTCCGGTTCCCGGTTCAACTGATCCAGATTTAGGTTACGTATTCAAAAATTGAACTTAAATCAGGTTCAATATCTGGATAACAAAATCTTGGTTCAAAATAAAGTAACGGACCTTTAAAGCTTATATTTATTTCATTTCATTAAATTACGATATTGTATGTCTAAAAATAATAATAAAATAATAAAATAACTTTACATGATTTAAAATACCTTCATATATTAGGGCATATTTAATATTGCAGGTTTTTATGTTACACGAATGAAAATCTATTATTTACTGTATTATCGTAATGTATATTTAAAACATTTACAATCATTTTCGACTAAATAAATGATCAAATAATGACTTTGCTTTTTGCTCACGATCATTATCATCTAGATTTTCTTTTTCTAAATATGTAGATTTTATTTGTTGGTGCTTTTGATTCTAAGCTCCATTAATTCTGAAGAATTACACCCGATTTCCTTAAGTGCCATACTTGATAATCGCAGCTTTGATTGCTGAAGATCGCTTGTCATATTTTGATGAGTTTCAAGATCCCGCTTATTGAAAATGTCTTCTAGCTGCTG